GAGTAACAGTTAGCATTATCCATTAGAATATATCATCGAATTCTTCTGTTGCATTTTCGAAATTTGAAGATTTAATATTGTTAAATCAATCGAATAAATTTGTACATGGAAAAATATTTATTTAATATATGTCGATGTGAAAGTTGGGTTCCTCTTTATTCACACCCTTGAACATTTTCTGATTTCCTCAGCAGAACTCAACGGAAACTTTTTAGTTCCGTCGTATTACGGCACCACATTGTGTTCCTCATATAAAGTATGATACTTCGCATCAGTCCTGCTCATTCTATAAATTGATAATTACTTTGAATATTTTTTTCTTGATTTATCCTATAGTTTATCCGTAAATTTAAAAAAATATTATACTCGTTTATCATAATCGATAGTTTCGAACACTCGTCTAGTCATCCAAAGTTATGCCATATGTCCTTTAGACTAAGCCAAAATGGATGTAGCTATATTATCTATTTTATTAGTTAGGTATATGCCGTATCATATTGACTATTGATCATATTTCATGTTGAGTTTTTCTCATGCTCTATCGATTTTAACTGTCGAGAGCAGCCATTATTAAACAAAAGCAAAGAAACTAATCCAAAGATGAGATAATCAGTTTCAGTGCAAGTTATAAAAAGACAAATCGTTTTTTTTAGTCAATTAAATTCAAAAGCTGTTGTGTCATAAGAGATCGTTCTTTATTGCAGACAAACCAAAATAATGACTCATGTGTGTGTGCCAACACATGATGCAATAACATATTTGATCGTTTGCAACTATAAAAGCATATTTTATTTCGATAATCACTCTTCATTCGTAACATAAAAAGAAAACAAAGCCAAACTTGCCGTTGTATACTTTTGAATCTCTGTCTGATGAAATTATTATGATCATTATGGAATATTCTGGTGATATTCAATCTGTACTACGAACATATCTTGGCTTAAACCAACGTCTAAATAATATTCTTCTTGATTGATGTTCATATTTTTTTGACTCAATTTTCAATATCTATTAGAAAAATTATCATTGATAAAAATAACATTAAATGAGAAAGAAATTATTGATTATCTACAAATGTTCATTGTTGCAAATTTCAAAGAAAAATATATCCAACTTGGTAATGAATTTCATTTAAAAATGGGCACGTTCGTATCTCAAAGTAATAATTGTACGCTTGAAAAGATGAATTATTTACGTTCTCAACTCCGAGATGAACTTCTTAAATTGAAAGATTCCCTGAATCATGATATTGTTAATACAGATAAGATTTGTTCTCTTATTTTTACAAACGGTGTTGATCTGGAATACGATACAGTTATAAGATGACACATGTCTTCTATGGATTCTTTTCTTGTAAGATTTTTATTTCACCAGCAATCTATTTTAAATAATTCTCGATTACTTCGTAATCATCTTAGTGAGATGTTCAAAGCATTCATTATTTTCATCGGTTATCGTTTGAAATGTGACCATTTGAATCATCAGTTTAGATACGTTTCCCATTATGGTTTATTAAATCAATTTTACCAATTAAAATATTTAAAGACTAGTCAACCATCAAATTCTGTTAATATGAAAATGTATCGAATTATGATCGATATATTTCTCCTTTCAGTTCAATGCTTAAACTATACGTTCGAAAGTATGTATTGGTCTGAATCGACTCTCCGTTATCTAAGGCAAACGATGTCATTAAGCGAATTTGTCGTTCCTAATAATTTATTTTTAGAAATAATACAAAAAGAAATCTTGAAATTAATTCTTTATGAGCATGCTAAGAAAACTGAAGCATCGTCATTGGCATGCTAAAATCAGATCTTTCTTAAGCTACTCAAGAATTTAATAAAAAATAATCGAATCAATGAAATCGTATTCTTTTATCAATACAATCAACAAATGAAATATTTCTTTGACACAAAAGGCAATATTAAAACGATTCTTCGTCTAAAGCTTGCAAGTCAAGAAGTTAGACAATTATTTGATACATTTATCAATTGAAAATTATGAAGACCTTTCCTGACAAATAAAAAATGGATATTTTTCTTGTTAGACAAAAAAGAAACCAAATTTCTTAAAAAATTATTCTATACTTATCCATCACTTAAACATATACTGGATAAAGACGGAAATGATCCATTATTATATGTTTGTCTCAAAGTTGATGGTCGTCGGTATTCAATAATCAGATTTCTCATTCAAATCGGATGCAATCAACAGAGACAAAATTTCAATGATCTAACACTCTTCGATGCTGCACAATTAAAAAACAAGACAGAAAAAAATTTAAATTTTTGAGAATCGAAGGAATAATCACAGTCGATTCGAACCTAGAACAAGTGATAGTTTAATCTTCGTGGCCAATCATTATCATTGTTACTTGTCTAATCAATAATCCGTATTGTCAATACTACCTAGCTAGAATAATTTGTAAAACTTTCTGAACAAACGATTTGAAAAGTTTTGTTTCTACGTCAATATCATGCTTTTACAGTTTTATATATTTCAGACATGGACGCAGGCAAATTCTGACAGAAGTGGATGGGCTTAGGATATGAAAATATCTATCTGCTCAAGAATATTTCTTTGTGAAAATTATAGTTACCCTTGTTTCGTCTTTGAGTGCGATCGAGAGAGCTGGCTCGAGGAGACCAGCATTATAACAATGTCAACCACTTTTGAATCCAATACAACAAATTCACAGTTAGAAGATCGATGAAGATATGGGTACGGGCTGCTGAAATTTTGAAGCTTTGTTTTATTTTCAAACTCAAATTAGGCAGCCATTCGTTATATTATGATAATTTTAGCATACGTATTTTTTATGGTTTCGCGTTTGCCTGAGTAATCGATCTGCGCATTTTCATAAAAAATCCAAAAGCTATTTCAAAGTATGCGAATATATAAATCAGTCTGCTAAATTTTAAGAGAACCTGATGAAAGACTTAGGAGAAGTCTATAAGCAAAGAGAAATACATAATCACATTATTTTATTACTGTATCTCAACAGAATGCCATCGAGGATTCACTTTGAGTCTGTTAGGTTCATTACTATACATGGTGGATAAGAAGAAGCTATCCGGTTTGTGCAGTATTTGTCTGCCAAATAATTGTTCCTAAATTATTAGTCCATTTCAGATTTCCTGAATCAAGCATTTTGAAGCAGAATGGATTTCCATTACCGTTATTTTGGGTAAAAGGTGTCCACACGTAACTACCACCCACTTGATAAACAACCAGATTACGATCTCCTTGTAACGCAAGATAGCATGTACCGGACGTTGAGGTCTGGTTTGCTCGCCAAATTGTTGTCGAAGTGACGTTCCCATATCCGTACGCCCTATAGATACCGAATTGATTGTTTAACATGCCAGCTGCATAGGTATGGGAAGTAGGTGAATAGATAAATTCATGGTTATTGAGTGTTCCAGAAGCGCTACTCACACAGATAGAAGATGGTAGAGCTGAAATAAAACAAATAGATAGTGGTAAAATACTTGTTTTCTGACAATTTCGCTGCATAGTCAGCGTTTTTAAAAACTTTTCTTTTGCCTTGTAGTCTAGTACGAAGGTAAGGCTTGTAATTGACTTGTTAGTGTATAGAATGGTTGAAAGTAATTGGTAAATTATTTAGTATACTTCTATTGTTGCAATCTGATAATACAATAGTTTTTAGCTTATTAATAGTTAAAGATTGATGAGTCATTTTGAAAATATGTTGTGCGAAAGAAAACATCGCAGAAAGTTAATTCTTTGTGTTAATGAAAAAGCACAGTATGAACCTCAAAAAATATAGAAAAACATTTTCTGAGATTACCTTCAAGTGACAGAAAAGGTCGATATGAAACCTCGTCAAAAAGAACTTTTGCAACATACTGCTTTCCCTGATATTTTTTCTTGAAAACCATATAGATAAGAAAGTAACCCTTACAAAACATGATCGAGCAAATTTGTTCAGCATCTGGAAACTTTTGGTTAGGTCAGATGATTCATTTTTTGAAATCAATAAAAAATTTGTAAAATGTTATGCTCGTAAAGCGAATCAAACCATAATTTATTATATCCCATTTGAAACAGTGATAAAAACATTTCTAACTTCTATAATTATATGATTTCAAACGTAAACTGTTACAAGCAAACAAATAAGCTGGATGCCAGAGATACATTTGAAAAAGACTGAAGTTGCTAGAACTTTTTTTGTTATTCAAAGTTAATCACAATATTCTTTTCTGATGTTACTTGAAGTTCAGTCTTTTCTCTTTCAACATGAAAAAGACTGAACTCTCTGCAATGTTCTCTAAGCAGAAAACCATGAGTGGAGATTTCGGTAATTACTTTTTCATCACAGATTATGTTGTTGAAAATCATAAGAAACAATAGTTATGCATCATAATGTCTATTGAATTTGCTTTCGAAAATATTCACTACATTGTTACTTTATTGTTATTTTTTGTTAAACAAACCGTAATATGCTTCATAAATCCTAGACACTCGAAGAGAAATATCAGTCTACCACTATTTCTATTTATCGTACTCTGCATATATCTTTGCTTCTTCAATTATTTTCTACTCGAAAATGATGCAATAAAATGACATATATTTATAATGGTTGCTTGTGTATATCAGTGTCCATACAATAGAACATTGATCTAATTTTGAATTAAATAATTGCATGCTTTAGGAATATGTTTTCTCATAAGGTTTGATCTTATCACAGATGAATAACGATGGATGAATAGAATAGTCACTGCAATCTTTAGCGATTGGTTGCAATTTTATTTTATGGAGTTCATTTGATATGATTTCACATATCAAATAAGTATGATAAATAAATAAAAAACTAATATTCTCAAAAACCAATGCTAAAACATATCTATCTAAGTAAAATTTTAATTGATAAATGAAACCTATTGTGATGAAAATCGAACACTTGAGCAATGTGATACATCATCATTGCATTATGTTTCTGCTCGAACTATGTCTGTTGGCTGAGCTGCTATGCATTATTTTCTTTTAGCTATTACAATGGAACTTCGAAACGCGGCAGTACACTTACTTGTCGTTGTTGTAGTTGTTGTGGTAGTTACGGTCGTTGTAGTTGTTGTGGTAGTTATGGTCGTTGTAGTTGTTGTGGTAGTTACGGTCGTTGTAGTTGTTGTGGTAGTTATGGTCGTTGTAGTTGATGTGGTAGTTACGGTCGTTGTAGTTGTTGTGGTAGTTATGGTCGTTGTAGTTGTTGTGGTAGTTACGGTCGTTGTAGTTGTTGTGGTAGTTATGGTCGTTGTAGTTGATGTGGTAGTTACGGTCGTTGTAGTTGTTGTGGTAGTTATGGTCGTTGTAGTTGTTGTGGTAGTTACGGTCGTTGTAGTTGTTGTGGTAGTTATGGTCGTTGTAGTTGATGTGGTAGTTACG